TTTTTTGTCGTTGTGTCTTGTCAGGTATTGGTAGCACGGTAACACTGGCTCTGTAGAATCAGTTTGGAAGGGTTCCTTCCCTTTCTATTTTACAGAATAGTTTGAGTAGCATTAGTGTTAGTTCTTTTAAAGTCTAGTAAAATTCAGCAGTGACTCCATCCAGTCCTGGGTTTTTCTTTGTTGGGAGACTTTTTATTACTGCTATAATTTCATTGCTTGTTACTGATCTACTTAAATTTTTTATATCTTCTTGGTTCAAATTTAGTAGGTCATATGCACCCAGAAATATGCCCATTTTTTCTAGGATTTCAAATTCAGTGGTGTATAGTTTTTCAAAATTGTTCCTAATGATCATTTGATTGTTAGTGATATCTATTGTAATGTCTCCATTTTCATCTCCAATTTTATTTATTTGGGTCTTCTCACTTTTTTATTAATTTAGCTAAAGGTTTGTCAATTTTGTTTATCTTTTCAAAGAACCAATTTTTAGTTTCATTGATCCTTTGTATTGTTCTTTTAGGTTCTGATTTATTTCTGCCCTGATCTATATTGTTTCTTTCTGTGTACTGATTTGGGGTTTAGTTTGTTCTTGTTTTTCTAAGGCCTTAAGATATATCCTTAGAGACTATCACCTAATTGGAGAATTAAGAATTAATTACAGTCAGCATTATTATTGAAAGGGATGTACTTGTTCCTGTCATTTTGTTAATTCTCTTCTGGTTGTTTTGAATATTTGATGTTCATTTCTTCCTCTCTTATTCAACTTAGAAGTCTGATGGTTTACTGTATTCATAATGTTGGATTCTTTCCTATTTCTCATTTATTTGTCCACTGTTCTAGTGCTTTTTTGTGCTCTTTCATGTGCTTTAAGGCTTGTGTTTATATTTGTCCTTCTGGTTGTCGGATTCCCTTAAGCATCTTCTGTAATGCTAGTCTAGTGGTCATGGATTTCTTAATTTATACATGTATCAGTCAGTATTTACTAGAGAAACAGATATAACACAAGATATACAAATATATATGAATTTACAAGATTGGCTTACAATGGCCACCCACAGAGCCAGATGAGGAAGAGTGCAGAGGGTCTGTCTGCACACTGGAGACCGAAGGATTTAGTCAAAGGTTGGGAGCTCTCTGCAGTGTCCCATGCGAGTCTGTATCAAGAGGCCATGAGCCTTCGATGGAAGGCTGCAGAGTCTACCCCAGAAGGCTGAAGGATCTGAGCCAGAAGCCAGGAAATGACGTCCAAAATGAAGGCAAAGACTGGAGCTCCTCTGAAGAACAGAGGCAGAACCGTCCTTCCTATTTCCCCTTTATACCATTCAGGCGATGAGCCACCCTCGGTTGTGGAACTGCTGAACCGATTTAGTTAAGCTTCTCTTAGCTAAACTTCTTAGGTTGACACAATCAATCAACCATCATGATACTTATTATCTTGCAAGTGTTTTTTATTGTTTTAAATTTTTTATGGTACTGGGGATCGAACTCAAGACCTTGCGTTTGTGAGGCAGGTGGAGGCACCACTGAGCTAAATCCCCAGCCCGAGTGTTTTTTATTTCTCCTTTGATTGCAAAGGATAATCTTGTGGAGTATAGTAATCTTGATTGGCAATTATTTTCTTTCAGGACTCTAAATACATCGCTCTTTGCCCTCCTGGCCTTTAGAGTTTTTGCCGAGAAATCTGCTGTCAGTCTGATGGGTTTGCCTTTAAATATGACTTGGTTTTTCTCTCTTGCAGCTTTTAATGTTCTTTCTTTGTTTGGCACATTCACCAATATAAATATAATATGTCATGGAGAAGTTCTTTTCTGTCCATGTCCATTTGGGGTTCTAAATTCTTTCTGTACCTGGATGTCCATGGATCCCAAGATTTAGGACATTTTCTGCTATTATTTCCTGGAATGGGTTTTCTATGCCCCTAGTACGTATCTTTTCTCCCTTTGCTATGCCAGTCATGCTGGCATTTGGCCTTTTAATGGTGTATGTTCTTTTCATTCTTATTTTTTCCTTTATTGCTGACTAAATGTAATATTTCAGCAGACTTGTCTTAAATTCTAATGTTCTTTCTTCTGCATGATTTAGTCCGTGGTTGAGGCTTTTTTCAAGTCTGACTTACTGAGCTTTTCATTTCCAAGATTTCTATTTGGTTCTATTTCAAAAATTTCTGTTTCTCTCTCTCTCTTTTTTTTTGTACCGGGGATCAAACTCTGGACCTTGCGCTTTCGAGGCAGGTGCCAGAACCACTGAGCACAGGTGCTGGAACCACTGAGCTAAATCCCTGGTCCTGTCTTTCTCTTTCTTAATTCATTCAACTTCATTCTCTTGGATTTCATTGAGTTTTTAAAAGTCTTTTAAAAAAATTCTTTTTCAAGAATTTTACCCACTTTGATATCTTTAGAAGTTGTTACCATGGATTTAAGAACTTTAAGAACTGACATTATCTTGTCATATATATATGTGTGTGTTTCTTTATTGAGATTTATGCATCTGTTGGGATAGATATTTCTTACACTTTTGTATGGTTACCTTCTCCTCATGTGGCCTTCTGACAATATGTCTTGGGGTATGGATTTATTGAGTTTATTTCCAACTGGACTCTTGTAGTGTAAGCTCCCTGCAGCTTCTTTGGTTGTGACTTGTGAGTTTGGGGACAGAGCATGCCATATTGGAATCAGAGAGATCCACTGTCTCAAGTCTTGTAAGCATGGGGAAACTTTGGTACCTTAAGCAGATGTGGTATAGGCAGTAAAATATATGGGATGTGTCCTCTGTGGTTACTCCTACTACGGGAGTGGTAGCAAGAGTTGGGGATTTCCAGTCAATAAGTAGCTCTATTACTTGAAAGTGAATCTGATGCTGTTGTTCCAGTTGTGTTGAAAGGCCTGAGGCTCTTGCCCTCCGGTTGGAGAATGATACAGATCTTGGTGCTTCTCGAGGAGGAGGAAGGGCTAGAATCGCAGCTCTTTCTCTGTGCAAGTTAACTTTCAGTCTTATCAGCCCTATGCTAGCTGACCAGGAGTGATTGCAAGTGACACAGAAGAACAGGGTAAATGTGATGTCAGCAACCATTGGGCTTTTCTGCAGCTACTGTGGGTATCTGCTCAGGAGTAGGACCTCAGCCTCCCCCTAGCCATGACCACCTCGGAACAGGTCAAGAGTTGGAGTCAAAGTGCCCACCAGGGATCAAATGGGACCTAGTTGTTGCTGGAGCTGGTCTTAACTGCTCTCAGCTGAACTGGGAGTGTAGCTCAGACACAGAGCGATGTATGAGAGGCTTTGGGCTCAATCTCCACTACTGAGGGAGTAGGGAAGGGAAAACCAAGAGGGAAAGTAAAAACAGAAATAAAATAAAAATGAGGAAAACCAGCAAACATCAAATTAAAAAATAAGAAAGAAAAACTGAATAAAACATAGAATAGATGGAGGAAAAAAATGAGTCCAAAATTCCTCCTAGCCACAGTGTTCAGAATCACTGAACGGGTGAATGCCGATCTAGTCCTCTGATCTGCTAGGCTGGACTCTAACAGGTATGGGGTGGGCATAGTGGGTCCGGGCTGCAGCTTGCATCAAAGGAGTTAGAGAAGGATGTAAGCTGTGCCATAAGTTTCTCACTGAACGGGTTCTCAGAAGCTGCTTTCTAAATTGACCCACTCTGAATCTGTGGGACAGCATCTGGAAAGCAGCAGGGTCAGGTATTTCTGGGCTCATCTGCATTCTAATCTTCTCTTAACCACATCCAACATATTGGTTTCCATTTTTAGAATCTGTGTTTGGATGCTCTTCTATCTTCCATGTTTAACTGAGTGAAGACCCTCCTGAGTTCTCTATCACACACTCCAGGAATAATGAAGGTTTCCTTTCTGACTTTTAGGAATTGGCATTATTCCCATCCCTCTAGGAATACTGGGTATTAGGTTCTACCTAATCCTTTTGGGTGGTTCTTTCCCAGACCTGGGATAGTTTATTCACAAATATTATGCTGCTAATTTCTTGAAGGAGGACTCTCTGCAGATCTCTGCAACTCTCTTTGTGTGCACCTTTCTCTTTTCTAGTTCTTTGGCCTGTGAACTCCAACCGCCTTGGTCTCTCCACACTCTCAATCCATCTCCCCAACTCAGGGACTCCCCAAGGCTATACTTGAGTCCCCTCTTTCTGCACTTTGGCCTGAAGAGACTCTCAATGCAGTAAGGGGGGCAATCACAGAGCTCTTGTCTTTTCTTCTCCATCTCTCAGGGATGACTGTCATTGTTGCCTGATGTCCACTGTTTTAAAAAGGACTGTTTCATGTACTTTGTTTTATTGGTTTGTTTCAGGTGAAGGGATAAATCCACTCTCTGGAACTCCATTTTGGCTGGAAATCTGCTATGCCATTCACAACATTCTAGTTAGTAATTTGAGAGATGAGTTCATAAACATTTGTTTTGTTGTAGACCACTAACCATTTACACATACATTATACATTCTTTAGTGTGTATAAAATAATGTACAACTTTTGTTAAGTTCTAAAAGGAAATAAATATTTTTTTCTTCCCTTGGTGTGGAACATGGTAAAGGAAGTGGGAAGAGTCTGTGGCCAGCCTCTTACTTCACCTACCTTCCTGACCCCTCTACTCTTTCTACGTATAATACCTTATCTTGACCAACTCCTTCCTGTCCTTGTCACCATGACTCCAAAGGTACTTTCCTGACATGCGAAAATGGTGTTGGCTTGGGGTGTCAGGGAGGATCATGAATTTTCATAGTCTGTGAGCCAACAAATCATTGAGGCTACTCCCGAACATTCAGTACTGGGAGAGGCTTTCAGAATAGTGCTGCAGAGTCTGTACCTGGCTCACACAATTAGACAGTTGCAAAGTTGGTGGAGGAATTCAGGTGAAGAGACACTGTTGCATATGATAGCTATTTTTGAAAACATAATCTCCATAAATGTTCGACTCCTTCTCTAACCACCCTCCTCCTCTTGATATAGCAACATAAGAACAAAACCAAGATGCAGTGAACTTGCCATTTTAGGAATGATGGGAAACATATGCAAAAGTAAAGAGTGAAATTTATGAGTCAATGATGAAAAACCTTAGCCAGGAATCTCAGGGTCACGTAGGAGAATTAGACAAAGGGATTGAGGACTGCGCACTGAGGGATATGAGAATGGAAAAACCATGCTTCAAAAATTAGGAACGTGGCCCAGGGATTTAGCTTGGTGGTTCTGGTGCCTGCCTCGAAAACACAAGGTCCTGAATTCAATCCCTGGTACCAAAAGAAAAAAAAAAATTAGGAACGTATTTCCCAGAAAAGCACATGATGAATGCGGTCAGAAAAAGTAGCTTCCTTCCTCTTTTCTAATCGTAGCTGCGGGGCCTCCAGCAGAACCTCTTCAATGTCTCTCACGTTACAGATTTCAGTACTCTCACCAGCTTAGAGGGAAAATGTGGCTTTTGACGGCTCTGCTCCTTTGGGGTAAGTTGAACTAAGGAAAGTGGCCAGAAGGATACAGGCTCTGGCTATGAGGAGTTAAGGTGTTTTTTGTTTTACTTTTCTTTGATATATGACCCTAAAAATTATGAGTACAGAGACAACTGTATCTGGACTTTGATGGTTTGTTTTTCGGTGCTTACTATATTAAAGTATGGGAAGGGGAATGCTGAGTCAGCAGTACGCCTGGGAATCTCATATTAAAGTAAAGCCTCTTTGTGGGTAGGGGTGTAGCTCTGTGGTACAGCACTTGCTTAGAATGTGCCAGTCCCCGGGTTTGATCCTCAGCACTGAAAAAAAAAAAAGTCAATCAATGCCCATCAGTTCTGTCAGTACTTGATTTTGAGAAAGAGAGGTAGAGAAAATCTCAAGAGATCTAAGGTATTCCCTCAGAGTCTACCTCAGTCGGTCTCCTCAATTCTCCTGTCGTCATTGTCTCCCACTGACAAACTGATGTCTCTATTCTCTGGTCTTTTGCAGTTCTGGCTGGTGGGCGAGTGGGTGAGTGACCTCCAGCCCAACGTCTCTTATACCACTTTTCTACTTCCAAAGGATGAGTTCCATTGACCTGAAGAAGAGTTTGGGGAGAGCATAGACAGGAGAAAGATTTGTAAATTATGTAAAACCCCCCATAGTCAGAGTGTGATTTTTACAAAATACTAAGGTTTTCCAAATGAATCCTGACTGCTGGACTCAGTGTATATGCAAGCACAGGAATGAGCCAGAACTGTAGAAATACTAAAGTAGCTCTGCTGGGTTTTCCAACATCTCCCTACTAGTCTCCTTTATAGGAAAACTGAGTTGGTATTTTGCTCTGCAGAGAGAACCAGGAACATAGTGAGATCTTCAAAGGGAGGCAGAAGCCATGAGGTTCTGTGCTTTAACCTCAGAGACAGCACAGCCTCAAGGACAAGGAAACTGGCCTCAGTCCATTGTCCCCGCCTAAAATGCCACTTTACACCTTAGCAACAGGGAGAACTAGGTCAGTAACCCATATCCTCCTCAGGGACCCAGTAGTCACAAAACCCAGATTAAGATTTAAGAACATAAACAAAGCTCTCTGCAACAGGGTTTACATGCTCTTAAAGGCTCACTTTTGTGGTTTCCCACTTGCCTATTTTTTTTTCAAATTAATCTAAATATGCATTTTTCCTTGGCTTTCCACCAAAACTTACCAATCCCTGAGAGCCATTCCTTTTCTTCCACCTGTTTTTGTTATTGTTTGTTTCTTGTTTTTATTTCTGTTTTTATACCCAAGTGGACTCCACAAAGGCAGTGATCACCTTGCAGCCTCCATGGGTCAATGTGTTCCAAGAGGAAAGTGTTTCCCTGTGCTGTGAGGGGCCCCACATGGCTGGGAACGACTCCGTACAGTGGCTCCTTAATGACACCGTCATTCAGACCTCGACTCCCAGACACAACATCATTGCAGCGAGTTTCCGTGACAGTGGTGAATACAAGTGCCAGATAGGGCTCTCGGCACAAAGCAACCCTGTACAGCTGGAAGTCCACAGAGGTGAATATAGCATGGTTAGAAATCTCAAAGTCTTCCTTTGTGTGGATGCCAGATGTGTGTGTGTTCGTATGTGTGTGCATACGTGTGTGTGTGTGTGTGTGTACAGCTCTTAGCTCTAAGCGCCTAGTAGGTGGAATTAAGTCAATATCCTCAAAACATCACATAAGGTCCCATGTACCAACCAGTAGCACCCCAGCTGGGCCCCCAGTGAGTAGAGTAACTGGAGAAAAACTCAGATGTGAGGATTTTATCATGATTCAAAATTAATGCCAGGATATAGTAAATAATAATTCACACAAATGTGTAACGATGAACAATGAAATCTCCCTATCATCCCATGACCCTAGTCCTATAGTTACCTTCCACAGAAGCAAAACTATTAGTATATATTAGTTTTCAAGAAAAAAATCTGTGGTTGATAGAATATACATAGAATAGAGATACCTTTCATCATTTAAAAAGGTCTGTTTATATCAATAAAGATTTCCTTTTAAATGTTTGCTGTGTGACTATGCCACGATTAGTAAACATGTAAAGTGTTCCCATTCTACATTTAAGAGCAATACTGCCATAAACATCTTATATTATACACATAGTCTGCACAATTCTAATAATATTCTAAACATGGAACCATATGAGATCTTAATAAATAGAAAGAGATAAACTCACCACCCTCTTAAATCTATAAGTCATTTCTACTTATCAAGGGATGGAGACACAATATTTTGGGCAAAATGTTTTATTATTCAGGACAAAACACCCAAATTATTTAGTTAATTAAAAGCAAAGGAGCTCAGATTTTTTTGGAATTGATAATGCCAAAGGTATTGCATGATAGAGGCAGAGTTACATTTATGCAGACTCTTGTGTTTTGAGGAAATGTGGTTTAGCTAAGGAAACACTGAGAATGTCCAGGGAAGGCCAGGGGTTCTTTGTGTCCTTTAGCACTTTGAAAATCAGTTCTTAGGATGGAGAGATCAAGGAAAGGTGAAGGGAGCTAACACAGTTGTTCCAATAAGAAATGTTGTTTTTTTTTGGGCAGAAGTGTTCCATGGGTCAAATGAGAAAAAATGGCCTAGGCCTGGGAAGAGCTCATTTTTTTCTTTGTATAAAGTATAACTTACATACAATGTACACTCCAATGAAATCTCACCATATAAACAGCACCCAGATCAAGAAACAGAACATTTCCAGGACCGCAGAAGCTTCTTCTAATCAATTTCTAGTCACCATCTCCAACACTGACCTCTAACGCCATAGGTTGTCTATTTCTGAACCTCATATAAGGGCTGTGATTGGTACAGGAGGTACTCTTTTGAGTCTGGCTTCTTTTTCTCAACATTATAATTGCAAAATTTATGCATGTTGTGAAATTAAAGTTAATTGCTTTCATTACTCGTTATAGTACATATTTTTCCATTCTATTGGTGGGCTTGGGTTGCTTCCAGTTCGGGCCTCTTACAAATAGTACTGCTGCCATCATTTTTTGACAGGTTCTTTTGTCATAGGGAAGTAACTCCCAACCTGTTAGACATGTCGAGGTTGTGTCTCAGGACGCCAAAGGAAGGAGTCGAGGACAAAGGAAATTAAGAGTAGGAAAAGTTATAAGAGAAAGCTCCTGAGAGCCAGGAGGGGACCTGAAAGTGGGTTGCTGCTGAGGCTCTTTGTCTAGGGGGTTTTTATACAGTAAAATGATGTTAGTTTACCTCGGGTCAACCTTCGACCTTTAGGATTACAAGTATAGTTACTTAACTAATATTGATTTACTAGAAAGACAAGGGATGTCCGGGTGTGGTGGTGCACGCCTGTGATCCCAGCTCTAGAGAGGCTGAAGTAGGAGGATTATCATGGATTTGAGGCCAGCCTGGGTTACATAGTGAGTTCAAGGCCAGCCTAAACTACACAGAGAAATCTTGTCTCAAAAAACTAAAAAAAAAGAAAAAGGAAAACAAAGTACGTAGCAAGGGTACATAGCATGGAGAAGAACAAAGCATTTCTGGAAGGGCTGGGAGTGAGGGTCAGAGTATTTGGTCATCTGTCTATGTGTTCATTGTGTTGTTTTCATGTGTTTGTTATATTGTTCAGGCTTATTGGGTCAAACGGTGTAGTTACAGTATAGCTTTGAGCTGTTGTTTATCTCTGGGGAGCATTGCAGGCCTCCCCATCCTGTCTTTATCTTGGGGCCTAGTTTCTATCCCTTAACTGCAGGCCTGGTTTATCTCATCTCTGTTTCGATTCTATCTGGGGCTTGGGCTCTTTCTTAACTACCTATCCCCCTCTATCTAATTTGGCTATCTGTAATATTTCCCCCTCTGAAGAGCTATCGCTAACTGTTGTTAGGGGATATGAATGAAGACCGTTCTGGCTTTTTTTGTTGAAAGGAGTTATTATTTTGATTGTCAGTCAGAGACACTCCTCAGGGGGTCTTTCTACAGGCCTTTGATAGACAATAGGCATTTTGGGGGGTTTTGGCAGATAGATAGCTTTAGCCCTAGAGGCGACAGAAGCAAGCAGACAGTTAAGTACACAGGGTCCAAATAAGATTAGGAGGATAATCACCACTACTGTCAGCAAGAACTTTTACCAGTCAGAGCCAGTAATTACCTTTGTTTTCTTTTGGTACCTGAGGGGCCGGGGATTTAGCTCAGTGGTTCCAGTGCCTGCCTCGCAAGCGCAAGGTCCCAAATTTGATCCCTGGTACCAAAAAAGAAAAAAAAAAAGAAATCTTTTGGTACCTGGGATCAAACTCCAGACCTTTTGGTTGCAAAGCAGGCGGTGGAACCACTGAGCTAAATCCCTGGCCCAGGGGTGACTTATTTTTAACAGAAACTTTACATTTTTTACCAGCTCACAAGAATATTTAGATGGCAAATCACACTCTTGGTGCCAACACTGGCTCCCAGGGCTTAAGTTGAATATGATGTATCTAGGACTCCAGACCATCTGTTCTGACAGCTGAGGGAGTTGACAGGATCACAGTGAATGGTCCTTTTAAAGTTGGCCCTAGGGAAGGAGATGATGAGGGAAAGACTTCTAGTACCAGATCTCCAGGGTGGATATGGGACTTTTTAACTCTTTAGGCTGGGCCTTGTTAATTGTTGATGAGTCTGTTGGAATTTAGCTAGTAAGGTGACATATTTTATTAAAGTGTGTGTGTGTGTGTGTGTGTGTGTGTAATCAAAGAACAGACTGTTAGTGAAGAAAGCCTCTTAAAAGACCCAATATCTGAGGTGTATTTCTTATTTTAATGAGGGCTAAGGGAAGCAAGTGAGGCCACTGTAGGTGGGTTTCCTGAGCCATTTTGTGAAGGTGTCTCTTAAGAGTCTCACTTTTTAAAAAAACTTTTTTGATGATTAAGGTCTCTAAGCACAATGAAGATGATAAAGAATGCCCAGTTCCTGAGAAACACCTTGGGTAACTCCTTCCTTAAAGGAAGGCCCATTGTCACTTTGTAGGTTCTTAAGAAGCCCAAACTGAGGGACAATTTTTGAGACAGAGACCTTTACCACATCTTGTGCTTTTTCTGTCTTGTAAGGGAAGACCTCAACCCAGTTGGTGAAAGTGTTCACCCAAACTATCAGGTATTGGATCTCCTTATTTTTAGGTACATGAGTAAAATCAAGGTGCCAGTCTTTTCTAGGCTACCTACCATGTCTCTGTGTGTCTGGAAGTGCTGTGGTTTGGTTAAAGGGATTGTTTTTTTGGCAGAGTTACATATTTTCATTGTTTGTTGTGTGGTTTGAAAGAGACCATTTTTTAGAAATAATTTTGAGGCCATTTGATGAGTTTTATCTCTCCCTAAGTGGAATACTTGATATAGAGCTTGAATGACCTTTCATTGATTGGCAGCTGGGAGAAACAACTTGCCATCATCAGACTGTAACCACCGTGATGGAAAGAATTGGCACCCCCAGGAAAGAGTCCACTCAAGTCTGATTGAGAGTAGGTTGAGTTTGACCTGAGGGCTCTTCTCAGATCATGGGAGCTTGAAGGAGGAGGCCTTGGGTACCCTCTTTTGCAGCTGCATCTGCTCATTATTTAACCTGTGACACCTTATCAAAACCTTTTGGTGTCTTTTGTAATGAATCACCACCTTTGTGGGCAAGTAAACAGACCACAGACAACACATTTTTTTATGATATTTTATGGGAGACCCATTGGCTGTTAAATAATTTTTTGCCCATGTGGTTGCAGGGGCATGTAACACTAAGATGGCATACTTTGAATCAGTATAGATATTAATTTTTTTGTCCTCTGTTAAGTTGTAAGGCTCTTGTCAGGGCCATAAGCTTTGTTAACTGTACATGAGTTTTAGTAGTGAGTGAGGAGCTTTTAAGTGTCTCTTGTAGAGTTACTAGAGCATATTTTGCTTTTTTTCGTTCCATTTTTTTGTATAGGAACTATTATCATAAAAGTTAAACCAGGCTCTGTGAGGGGTATGTCTAGCAAATCTTTCCTAGTCACGTATAAAGGATTATCTGTTTACAATCGTGTCTTAATTTAGGATTTTTTTTTTCTGAAGGAAGGTGGCTGGATTTAAAGAGGAGCACATTTTTATTTGAGTGGCTGGTCCTTCTAAGAGAAAGGCTTGGTACTGAAATTCTCAGTTATCAGATAACAATAGGCTCTCTTTAGAAAACAGGGGTCCTGGCATATTATGAGGGTTTAAATACAGTAAGATCTTTGCCTAAGTTCAGTTTAGATGCTTTTGGTGCTAGAAGAGCCACTGTAGCTATAGATCTAAGGCAAGCAGGCCATCCCTTTGTTCTGTTTAACTCAAGACTCAGATACCTTATAGGCTGTTGAGTAGGTCCTGGATCCTGTGTAATTACTCTCACGGCCACATCCTGTCTTTTATCAATGTAGAGATTAAAATGGCTTCCTGTTGGGAGACTCAGTGCCAGGGGAGTTTGTTTAACCTCTTGGAATGAGGTCTGGAAGTCAGGTTCCTAAAATAAAATATGGGTATCTGCCTTTTGGGTTTCCTTTATTAATTGGTA